ACTTATCATTTGTATTCTGTTAACTTCCCAAAAGAATTTGTCCAGAGCATTGGGCCTGAAGGATACATGTACCGTTTTCGGCCCTCTTGACCATCAGGACTTAACATTTGTTTAGAGCTTGTTAGTATGAAAAATGAGCTGAATGCTGGAACATGAGGATAAGGATATGGGCCATCAGAGCTTTGGAGAGGAAAGGATATTGAAGGGAAGAAACTGTTTCTTAAACAAATTATACTTTCATATGTTCTCCTATTTACTATCATTTTCACAAGAAACCTATATAAGACAAGTACATATTTTCTTCATATTTACAAATGATGAAATTGAGGGTTAAGTCAAAGAAAATGCTTACAATCACAGTGATTAAATGTAGAAGCTGGGCCTTAATCCCAGGTTTGTGCAACGCTAAAACACATAGTTTTATCATGTGCCTTTTTTTTTTTTTTGGTAGTTGGTAGACTGCCCTTCTAATTTCTAAACTTAAGAAGTTTCCAAGTAATTTGAAGTCAATGGATTTTATGTTTTGTGGCTAGAAATAAAATTTACATGACTAAGTGAAAGTAGAATTTTTAAAAATTAAAGTAATTGGGGTGGCATTGTTTAATAGGATCATATAGGCTTCAAGTGTACATTTCTATGATGCAAGATCAGTATATTGCACTTGTGTGCCCAACCACCCAAAGTCAAATCATCTTCTGTCACCATATACTAGTAGTAGGCCTCCTTTGAAACAGGATTTGAATGGTTTCATTTTAGACATCAAATGTTAAAACTTATGTATGCTTACCGTAGATATAGATTCTTTTGCAATATAGAACCAGTTTAACAAATATTGTAAAGGCTGCTCAAATGGAGTATAAGTCTATTAAGAATCTCTTTTTAGTCTGAACTGTCAAACTCCTGGAAGGCAAATTTCTGTCATATGTCTTTGTTCCCTGAGGGTCCCTAGCCCAGTGCCTGGTATTTATGTACTTAAAACTGGAGTTTATCCATATAAGAAATGGTATTTTTTTGTTACTGGTTGATTTTACCATATTTGAAAGACATTCTTAGGTGGTCTCATTTAAAATATAGATTGTGGCCTTCACCGGTTTGGCTCAGTGGATAGAGCGTCAGCCTGCTGACTAAAGGGTCCTGGTGTCCATTCCAGTCAAGGGCACATGCCCAAGTTGTGGGCTCAGTCCTCAGTAGGGGGCGTGCAGGAGGCAGCTGATCAATGATTCTCATCGTTAATGTTTCTCATCATTATTGTTTCTGTCCCTCTCCCTTCCTCTCTGAAATCAACTAAAACACATATATAAAATAAAATGTAGATTGTGTGCTATGAAATTAACTTTGGTTGGCCCTAGAGGGGAGCACCTCAGTTTTCAAAAAATTTTAAAACTAGGTACAATGAGAGGCGTGTGTAATGGTTAATCTGTACAAACACCATATATTTTAAGGCTCCATGATCAGAGAAAATAAAACCTCAATTGGCAGTCACATTGTATTTGAAGTGTTGTTTTGCAATTAGTTGCTTTTCATGTGAGCAGATTCACATAATATGCTTTCATTTGGGGATATGCTAATTTAAATATGGTTAATAATTTTCCAGGACAAGGCCTTCTTAACCAGTTAGTGGCAGAATAAAAGGACAGGTTAATGTTGCCAATGAATAGGAGAGGCTCCACCACTATGCTGTGTCCTTTTTCCTGCTACCGGAGAATTCTGTTGACTTTACTCTTGGGATAGGAGGCTTATTATGGTGTCAACCATTGTGGGGAGTTGCTGATGACTTATGGAATCCCAGTAATTATGAGAGCTATATAAAGCCCAAGGGCTATTGAAAAATTGGGATATCTGCATAAACCAGAGAGAACCGCTACTGTTATAACCTTTACATAAGTTGATGTTGCAAAGAAGGAAGTAAAATTGGCACAGGGTTTGGCTTGCCTATCATTCCAGAGCCTATGAAATGGAAACTGTTCCCACTGCTTTTCACTGATTGAGGACCTCAGACTTCGTATATTTGTTTAAAAGGAAAGATTGTTTCATCTTTTACCTGGGAGGCTGAAAGAACAGTGTTCACAGTTTTTCTCAAAGGAATTGCATTGAATATTTTAATAGGTTAAGATAGTTTTTAACCACCTAATTTCTCACCTTTTAGCAGTTAGTAAGTAAATTTAAATGACTCAGTGCAGTCACTGTCATGAGTAAAATGGAGGTGCTATATAAGTGACTACGATGAAGAGTTTCCTGAAGGGATTAGTTAAATGAAGTGTTTGCAGATGTAAGCTTTGTGAGCTGCCAGTAAAAGAGATGGGAAACTTCAATTGGAGCTGCAAGACAGTTCAGTTGGCAAGGCTTGCATAGAACAAGAAATCAGAAAATGTAGGCTTGGCTAGAGAGGATAGTATGAACTAAGAAATAGCATGAAAATTGACAAGTAAGATGGTAATATTGGGAAGCAGAATTATAGTTTTATATTCCTGATGTGGATATGGCTCTAAGTCCAAACTCCTTTTTGGAGCTTCTTACCTTTCTTTGTGCACTGCCTCTCCTCCCAATTCCCACACCTTCCCACATACATATACTCAGAGATTAGAAGAGGCAGCATTAAAATGGCAAAAGAGCACAGAAGAAAATTAGAAGGAAGAGTGAGGAGACCTGGTTGTGGCATTAGCTGTCTGACTTTAACAAGTTGTTTAAAATGCATCTATTTGACAGACCTGAAGCAGTTACTGTCTGGTGCTTAGATTCCAGTGCAGATGCAAAAAAAAGGGTCCTCACTCATGCTTTCTGTCTGTCTGATTGTGGTAGCCAAGATTTAAATGGGTAACACACACACAAAGAGTTTTTACCACTCAGAGTACCTTGTAAACAATTGAAGAATTGGCTTTCCTCCAAAAGAAGACTCTAAAATCCAAGGGCTTTTATTAATGTTGCTTAAGACCCAGCAGATTAAATTTGGATTAATTAGGAATTTAATCAGCTAAAAGACAGCTTTTGTTTTGATTTTTCTGCTATAAGTCTTTGGGAATCTTATAAATTGGGCTTTAGAATATTAATGGGCTCTCTTTTTCCAACTGCATAGCCTATATAATAAAAGCCTAATATGCTAAGTGTCCAGTTGGCTGGTCATCTGTTCAACCAATCAAAGCGTAATATGCTAAGATTGCTCAACCACTCACTATGACGTGCACTGACCACCAGGGGGCAGACGCTCAGACTGGTAGGTTAGCTTGCTGCTGGGGTCCAGCCAATTGGGACTGAGTGAGATGGGCCGGACACGCCCTGGAGCCCTCCCACAGTCCCTCCCCAGCCCTGATTGTGCACCAGTGGGGTCCCTCGGCCTGGCCTGCGCCTTCTCACAATCCAGGACCGCTCAGGGGATGTTGGAGAGCCAGTTTCAGCCCGATCCCGCAGGCCACGCTGAGGGACCCCACTGGTGCACGAATTCATGCACTGGGCCTCTAGTTCCTGATAATTTCCTACAAATGCAGATAATGTCACATTATAGAAACTGAACATTCATGTTGTGTTTTTTGAGTATAGCTCTGCTATAATTAGTAATCTGATAGAAGTCTATTCTGAAGAACTGGAAATAAAGCAATTAAAACTAATATATTGATTTACTAACTTACTGTTTTGAATATGAGGAGAATGGGCAAGTGAAAAAAGTAGTAGTACCCAGAAAGAAGAGTTAGATACCTGGGTCCCATTCTTCAAATTCCTGAATTTAAATAGGGAAGAGTGGGCTCAGAAATGCTATTTAAAAACAAAAAAAACAAAACAAAAACCTAGTGATTATGATTAGAAGCCAAAATTGGTATTTACATACTTAATTCTATTCATGAACACCTCTTAAGTGCTATCATTTTATTTTAGGGGTGTCAGGAAAGCTGAAGTAGCCTTTTTAAGCTATGGCAGTGGGTTTGTAAAAGCTGCTTTTTAAAAAAAAAATATGTATTTTTCTTGATTTCAGAGAGGAAGGGAGAGGGAGAGAGAGATAGAAACATCAATGATGAGAGAGAATCATTGGTTGGATGCCTCCTGCACGTCCCCTACTGAGGATCAAGCCCACAACCAAGGCATGTGCCCTTGACCGGGATCAAACCCAGGACCCTTCAGTCCACAAGTTGACGCTCTATCCACTGAGCCAAACCAGCTAGGGCTGTAAAAGCTTCTAATCCCAGAACAGTAGCACCATTAGATTATAGAATTACAGGGGACATTAGAGATTACCTAATATAGAGGCCAACAAAGTATAGTCCATGGACCAGTTCTGGCCCTCCGCCTATGTTTTGTGGGGACATAGTCATACTCATTCATTTATGTGTCATCTATGGCTCTGTCTGGCCTCTTACTGAAAAAGTTGGGTGGCTTTAGAATGGATCAGACCTATCATTTTATAGATGTAGAAATAAGATGTAAAAAAAGGATAATGCGTGAAATATTCTGAGACTACACAGATGCATAGCGGTCAGAGTGCAAATACAGTTGAGTTCTTTTTCCTGCTTTCATGCCATTATTTTTTGTTCAAGGGACTGATACATGGGTGAGGTCAGAAAATAGATTTGTGGTACAGAATTTTGTGTATAAGTTTATTGTTATAGTATAAAACACAGTTACTGGGTTAGTAAATGGTCCATCAAGTATTAGATAACATGGCTATACAAAAACGTTTTTTGTTTTTTTTAATCCTGACCCAAGGACATGCTTAGAGAGAGAAAGAAACATCCATGTGAGAGAGAAACATCAATCAGTTGCCTTCCATACATGCCCCAACGGGGGAATCAAACCCGAGACCCAGGATGTGCCCTGACTGGAAATCGAACCAGCAACCTTTCCGTGCACACTCAACCAACACTCAGCCAACTGAATCCCTACGGCCAGGCAGAAATCTTTTTAATTTGGGTTGGGGGAAGAATTTGTAGTATATTCTTTTTTCTGAGTATAAATCTTTGGTTTGATCTGCCAAGCAATTTGATAACAAGCATCTTTTTCTGTTCCTTATGCAGCCAAATGGGCGGACTGTTGAAGTGGCTGAGGAGGAAGTTGTCCGAACTCCTCGAAGTGTAACAGCAAAGCAGCCATTAGAGACAGATAAGAAAAATGAAAAGGTAAGTTTGGGAGCATATAAAATTAGATGCAAGGCTCTAAATAGAGTGACATGTAAAAAAAATTATGCTTTTCTTTTTCACAAAATTATATATATTACCCACTCCCTCTTCAAGGAAAACCAAAGATCTAAATTTATCAAAGCGGATGGATAGGTGGTGAAGGTTCCAGATATGTAATATACCTCTTATTTGAAAACAAAATTGTATTACCTTTGTTAATAGTGCATTTATTTTACAGTTGCCAGTGTTAGAACTGACCATTTTATTTACTTAATTTAGTTTGTGAATAGGCAAAATGTACAAGAAACTGTTAACAGTGTTTCCTTCTATTGTGGAAGAAAGATGTTCCATTTAATTCCTTTTGGTACTCCCCCTCTCCATTTTTTATTAACCCTGTACATGCATAACTCCTTCTCAGAAAAAACAATTACAGATAGGTAACTGATTTCTAAGAACCAGAGTGCAGCTCCAGCTCTGTAGCATAGTGAAATGAAATAGTTGCTACAGTTTCTTAATGCTTGCATTTTCAAAATAACTGAAGAACTGATGAAATCAATTCTCCCCCTGTAACCTAGTGAAATTGGCCCAGGGCTAAGATAGCTGCAGGTAGGATGGCTTAATATGAAGGGTAGTTGTGGGAAAGAATTACATTTATGTCTAACTTTGTCTTTGGGAGAAAATAAATAGTAAATGATTGTATTAACAAATAAGCATACAATTTAGGGATTGTGACTTTATACCAGCTGTGGGCAAACTACGGCCCGCTTGAAATGAATAAAACTAAAAAAAAAAAAAAAAAAAAAGACCGTACCCTTTTATGTAATGATGTTTACTTTGAATTTATATTAGTTCACACAAACACCCCATCCATGCTTTTGTTCCGGCCCTCCGGTCCAGTTTAAGAACCCATTGTGGCCCTCGAGTCAAAAAGTTTGCCCACCCCTGCTTTATACCATGAATAGTTTCTATGCTTAATATGGAATTATCCTTCTCCCATTTAGTGTTTCCTTGTTTCTGGGCTTTCTCTCTACTAATAAGCATTTTATCTTTACCCCTGCTTCCACTCTGAATTATTTTGGAAAATTTGTAATTGGACTAATTAATGAACTACCATTTAACTCTGATTGATTAATCATATATAGATTGGATGTATCAGATGTAAAACCAGTTTGAAGTTTATATTCTGAAATTTGTGATAGGAAATAATTATAACAGTTGACATTTGTTAAGTATCTATAATATGGCAGGCATTGTGTAAGGTGAGGTATATGTATATGTGTGAATATATTTACATATATCTGGTAGGGACGAGTTATTGAGCATTTATTGGGTGTACTTTTAAGACTTTATAGAATAGTTATACACATTGCTTTATGTATCCTCACAAGAGCACTGAGGCGGCAGTATTACACCTATCTTACAAATAAGAAACCTGAGGCTTAAATTACCCTAAGCTAGTAAAAGTATAGTTCGTTCTAACCCAGACCCATCTGACTACAAAGTCTGTGCTTTTTACTGCTCTGTATTATTTCTGATCCACAGCCTGTAGATAATAATTGCCCATTTTGTAAGATAAGGGCTCTGAGGCATAGAAGGATTTTGTGGTTTCACTAATTTCATAGTTTCTGAACTAGGATTTGAATCCCACTCATTCTGATATGAGAGCCCATGCACTTTTTAATCATTTGACAGTACCTCCTCTCAGTTGCTGTTGCTCTTTCAGTACAAAGCTTCTACTTTGGGTTGGTTGCCTATTTTTTTCACTTTTTGCATAATAAATGCTACAACTCATGGCTAGTGTTTCTGTTGATCATCTTGAATCTTGAATTTATGCTTTTTAACTTGGTTCAGTCCAAGTGAGACTCGTTTCAGGTAGTTTTTAATGCTATTGCACTATATTTTTGTGTGTTTAAAATAAGTGATATTTCTAGACTTCATATTTTTCTTTGTAAACAAACTATCTTAGATCTACTTATTTATCATAATATACATTATTGTATATTTGTTTTTCTCTCAGAGCCACATCTTGGGCACTTTGAGGAGTACAATTTGCCGAGACAGTAAATAATTGCACTCTAAGCTGTGATAGTGAACACTTTATCCTATCAGTTGAGTAAGGTTCATAGATAAAACGTTGTCTGAAAGTTACATATGACAAGAGTTATAGATCTTGGCTCTGTAAAGGTCTTTATTTGGATATGAAGGTCGATGCTTCATTGATACAGCAGAGTACACATAGGGCCATGATCCAGGCTGAATGCGTTGTGCTATTAGATGCTGAAGGGGAATAAAGAGAAATGTAAGATGTACTTACCCTCAGAGAGATTGCTGTCTAATTAAGGAAAACAAGCACAAGAGAGAGATCAGGTAACAAGGCACCGAGTGTCAGGTATTCAGAGGAGTTAGATTATCCTATCTGAGTATCCAAAAGATTGACTAATTGGACTCTTAAGGATGGGGATGGTATTTCAGTAAGTATAAGGGGTAAGACCAATTTTGGCAGGAGAGAGAAACAAATGAACACAATCAGACATTATTCAGCTGAGTCAAAAGAACATATTCAGACATACTCCAGGGAAAGCCCTAGACAAGTTTGACTACTCAGGGTGGAGTGGGGATAGAAAAATCTTACTTACAGATTTTGGGTGTATCAGGATGTAAAGCCTGGCACAACATGTATGATTAACAAATAATTCTTACATCTGTGTTTGTAAGGGTCTGAATTAAGATAAAAGTATAAAGATTGCTAGAAGCAGAAACAGCAGAAGCAAAAATATATAAAATGTGGTCTCCATAAGGTTGTTCAGGATAATGTCGGTGGTTTCCACTAAAATACTGATATCATTCATTATATGTATTCATGAGCTCTTACGTTATTTTGATGCTGTATGGTGTACAAAATGCTTTCATCTGTATTAACCCTGATTAACAACTTGATGAGGGGGGTAATTTTTTTTTTCAGCTCATTAAAAAGTTTAGTGAATTGCCCAAGATCACAAAGCTAATAAGTAATACTCCTCAATCTTCCTGAGGCAGCAGTTGTAAGTGTGGTCTATGGACTCCTGAGAAGGGGGTCACAGAAAACAAAACTATCCTACATAATAAAAGCGTAATATGCAAATCAACCAAACAGCCGAACAGCAGAACAACCATCCGGATGACCATCGGGACCACACTATGACACCCACTGGTGCCAGGCCAGCCAACGCAGGTGCAATGCAATTGTTCAGGGGCCTGGCCATCGCCCCATGATCGCCCTGCAGAGGGAGGCCCAGGCCACCAACGGACTGCAGTGGGTGGGCGGGGCCTCCCTCTGTGAGGGAGGCCTGGGTCCCGGGTGAGGGAGGCCTGGGTCCCGGGTGCCGGCAACTGGAGGGAAGCTGGGGTCCCGGGTGCCAGCAGGAAGCCAGTGTTGGCAGCCGGGGGAAAGAAGGCCTACTCTTGCACGAATTTCGTGCATTGGGCCTCTAGTTTTTATAATAATTTAGACATTATTTGCCTTTTTTATTTTGATATTTGCACTAATGGTGCAAAAGCAATAATGGATGAAACTGCTGACTCCTTAGCACAAATCAAGGCAGTGACATCAAACTACTAATAGTGGTTTGCTTTACTGCAATCCACTTATAGTAAAAAGAAATAAATGCCAGTTTCACTTAAGAGTGTCCTTGATGATGCATTGAAAATAATTATTAGTTTTACAAATCTTGACCTTTGAATACTTGCTTTTAATTATTCTATATGATGAAATGGGAAGTATGTACAAAGTATGCTGGGTACTGAAAAAAACATTTGTACAATTAAGTTGCAAGCAGGATTAGCAGCTTCATTATGTTACTTCACTTTTACTTGAAAGGACAACTGATAAGCCATGGCTATTTAGACTTGGATATTTGCAGACATTTTCTCAAAAATAATCAAGACAATCCTGTCACTTCAAACAACTGATAGTATTTGTTACAAATGATAAAATGATTTGTTGCCAAGTGAAAATTAGAAATTTGGAAAATTTATATCCACCACCATGAACTTGACAACATACCAGTACTTAAAGAATTTCTGATGAGATCAGTTATGATATTAACAAATGTGATTTTTCAAAAAATATTGTGCCCTAACCGGTTTGGCTCAGTGTGGATAGAGCATCGGCCTGTGAACTGAAGGGTCCCAGGTTCGACTCCGGTTAAGGGCATGTACCTTGGTTGTGGGCACATCCCCAGTAGGGGATGTGCAGGAGGCAGCTGATCGATGTTTCTCTTGTCGATGTTTCTAACTCTCTATCCCTCTCCCTTCCTCTCTGTAAAAAATCAATAAAATACTAAAAAGAAAAAAGAAAAAAAATATTGTGCGTAATGGAACGTTTTAACATTTTGGGAGATGTATATATACTCAATGAACCAATATTTTCCAAATGACCAATGCTTGCATATTACAAACTCAGGCAAGTTGAAAAGATTCATTCAAAGTGCAAGATAGACCAATGGATATTAATGTAATAGAGTATGGAAAGTTTGTTGATGCAGTCTGAGATTCCACATTGCAACAATTTTTAAGAAACTACCAACTGACAGGTTTTGGTGTAATACTTTGTTCTTTTTCAACCTAAAATCCTTCATGACTTTCTATTGCTTTTACTCCACAATCTGACCATAACCTAAAGGCCCTGCCTGTGGTTCAAATTTCTTTGTTTATTTCTTGCCCTCTCTAAACTCTAGACACATTGGTTATTTTTCTTTTTTGTTAAACACCTTTATTTTTAGATGTTTTATGGTAATAAAATTTACTTTTTAAGTGCACAATTTTAGTGTATTTGCAGTTGTGCAGCTATCACCACAATCTCTAATTTTTGAACATTTTCCTCTTCCCAGAAAGAAATCTTGTCTCCATTTGCTGTTGCTCCCCATTTTCCCTTTTCTCCTTAGCCCCAGCTCTTGGCAACCACTAATCTTTGTAATGTCAAATAATATCACAATTATTTGAAAAAACTATTCAAATATTCC